GGCCGAACGAGTACAGGAAGAACAGGAACAAGAAAAGGAAGCTCTCACTCGAGAGTTGATGAATGTTAGGGCGGAAAGAATGTTAAGCGGTGAGACTGAGTCCGTTCCCGCTCAGGAGCGGGCTGAAACGTACGAAGAATTACTCCGTCGCGCGGAAGAAGCTGCACGGGACCAAGAGATTCAAGCCCAAGTCAACGAGGCTTTAGCTAGAGAATTACGAGAGCTCAAGAATCAACACGGAACCGGACAGAGAGTTGCTGTACGGGGAATTTCTGAACAACCATCGATCCGTTCAAATAGGACCATCCAAGAACGGATTGAAACTTCCCCGGTTGGGTACGTTTCGGCACTGAAACGTCCTAACGCGCACGCTAGAGACCCGTACGCGAGACTTGAAGAACTTTCCAGGGAGGAACAACTTCAAATCATGAAAGATAGGGAAGAACACGAAGACGACAAGGTCCAAGACTCGAAGGGTCTCACGCCGGATACCTTTCACGGGGATCCGAAGAAAGTGGACGAATTCTTACTGCAGTGTACTATTTCGTTTACCTTACGGAAGAGTTACTTCCGTAAGGAATCGAAAAAGGTCCTAACTACGATCGCCCGTTTCCGCGACGAAGCAGCCCTCTGGATTAGACCGTACATGAACTTGCCGGAAAGTGCGAAACCGGCCTTTTTCAACGATTTCGAGCTCTTTCAGCAGGCATTGAAGGAACAGTGGCCGGTAGAAGGGGAAGAACAAGAGGCTAGAAACGTAGTCTCGACACTGCAGCAAACGGGACGAGTTACCGAGTATCTGGCCCGATACGCACTTTATGCTCCTTATACGGGCTATGACGATGGAGCGTTGAACAGGAGTGCAGAGAACGGTCTCGAGATCAGCCTCTATCACAAGATCAAAGCGGCCTTAGACGCGCCAAAGACATTTGATAGGTGGAGATTGTGGGTGGTCGCGCACGAAAATGCACAGATCGGTGCCAATAACCAGATGTCAGAACATCGAAACAATCGGAACGCGCAGACCGGGATGGCACAGGGCTTAAACGAACAACGACAGTACAGATCCGTTCGTTTCACCCCTCAGTCGACAGCACCCGTCCCTTATCGGAGTTATTCAGCTCCTGTTACCAGTAGGCCGGCGATAAACGCGCCGTCTGGTCCTATCAAGAACTATGAAGAAAGGAGAAGTCGGGGTCTGTGCTTTGGATGTGGAGAGAAGGGGCATTTGGGACGTGATTGCCCCAAAAGGAACAGATATGCCCCGAATAGGGTAGAAGAAAGGGGAAGGGCAGCTTACGTGGAGGATGACTCGGATTCGGGAAACGATTACGCAACTTACGGATCCGTCCGGTAAGTTGCGAACAAGGACGAAAAGGCGGAGAAGGGGAAAATCAGGAGGAAGGAAGGATTAGGATGCGTATGAAGGGCTCGCATACGGCCTTCATCAGGGCGGTACTGGACGGAATTGACGGAAAGGTGGATTTGGTGTTGGACAACGGGACTTCGCAGAGCGGGATCGATCGGAATTGTTCCTTAGCATTACGTTTCGACGCGAAACCGTACCCTTTCCCTCGGAAACTTCGCTTATTGGATGGGTCGATGGCGAGCCAGCCAATCACGCATTACATAACGGTGAGAATATCGAAAGGAAATTTGGGGCCTTTTGAAGTCGATTTAGCCCTGTATGATATTGAGTCGGGAGGAATTGTATTAGGATTGGACTTTTTAGTACGATTCGGGGCGAGAATGGACTTCGAAGATATGACCTTGGGCTTCTCGTCAAGTCGAGCTCGAGAATTCAAGCCTGAAAGGTCTGAACAAGATCGAGCGGAAGTGTGTCTTTTAGGGCGAAAAGGAACGATCCTGAACGAAGAATCAATGGAGTACCGGGATCCAGTGCTGAAGGCGCTAGTCGAGGCAGAAGAAGAGGAACCGGACTGGGACATGACCGAAGTGTGCGAAAAGGTACCGAAAGCTTACCATGCTTTCCTCGATCTTTTCAAACCGTCCCATTCCGAGCGGCTCCCTCCGCTACGGGAGGGTTTCGACCATGCAATAAACCTTATCGACCCTCACAAGTTGCGAAAGGCGCGGGTGTATCCTATGTCTCACAAACAAGATCAATGGTTACAAGCGCATCTGGAAGAAGGCGTACGGAAAGGTCATTATGAGCCCTCGAACCATTGGTTTGGGAGCCCAGTTTTCCTTATTCCAAAGAAGAACGGGGAATTCCGGCTGGTCACGGACTTTCGTGAACTGAACAAGCAAACGGTAAAAGATATCTACCCTTTGCCACGGATCACCACTTTATTGGAGAGATTACGGACGGCGACACTCTTTTCGAAGTTTGATATGCCCACTTCCTATCAGCTGTTGAGAGTACGGCCCGGCGATGAGAAATGGAGTACGATTCTCACACGGTACGGGGCGTTCAAGTGCAACGTCATGCGAGAAGGGATGTCGAACGCTGGAGCAAGTTTTCAACGTTTCCTTAACGAGCTGTTCCACGACCTATTGGATCAGGGAGTAATTGTATACATCGACGACATTTTGGTGTACAGTGCGGACGAAAACCACCATGTGCGGACCATTCAGAGCGTTTTCGCACGATTACGGAAGGCGGGACTGTATTTGAAGTTGTCGAAGTGCGAGTTTCATCAAGAGAAAATCGAATTTTTGGGCTTTATCGTACGGAACGGGGCGATAGAGATGGAAGAAGGGAAGTTAGATGCGGTAAAGTCCTGGCCGGTGCCGAAAACGGTGAAAGAGATACAGAAGTTCTTGGGGTTCGCAAACTTCTACCGGCGTTTTATCTTCAACTTCTCCGGAGTAGCAGGACCTATGACGAAACTGACCCGGGCGAGTACGGCCTGGAACTGGGATTCCAGCGCGGAAGCTTCCTTCCAGGGACTGAAAAGGGCGTTTACGGAAGCTCCTATCCTGAGGCAGTTCGATCCCGATCGACCGTGTACGATAGAGACGGATGCTTCGGACTATGCGATAGCTGCTGTAGCAAGCCAACGTTTCACGGATTCGGACGGAACTGAACACCTACGTCCAGTGGGTTTCTTTTCAAGGAAATTGAAGCCCGCTGAACTCAACTATACGGTGCATGACAAAGAATTGCTTGCGATTGTGGACGCTTTCGCCCATTGGAAGCCAAATTTACTGGGAAATAAGCACGCTATAGAGGTGCTTACGGACCATCGGAACTTAGAACATTTCAGAGACAACAAGCAACTGAACAGACGCCAAATCAGGTGGGCGGAAACGCTGCAGGACTATTACTTCCGGATTCGGTACAGACCTGGGACAAAAGGTTCGAAACCGGACGCATTGACAAGGAGGCCGGACTATCACCCAGGAAGGGGTACGACAAAGGATCGTGAGTTCAATCCGAGTAACTTCACCTCGTTGTTACCGGCGGACTTGTTCGTAAATGGACGATCCGGGGTCATAGAAGAAGGAGAAGGTACAGAAGGGGACGGGAATGCGAGTTTTTTGGAGTTGGTGATTGAAGGGTACGAATACGACGAGGAGGCAAAGGAGGTACTGAGGGAGTACTACCAAGTGATACCAATTGGTGCAACGCACGGTAGGATACTGGACGGCTCGTTTTGGGGCGTTTCCGGAGGGTTTTGGAGGAAAGGGGCGCTGCTGGTCCCCGAATATCTCGATCTACGCAAGAGGGTTCTACAGGGACGGCATGATTCCGTACTGATCGGTCATCCGGGTCGCGACAAGACAATCGAATTGGTTGAAAGGGATTTCTATTGGCCAGGACTGAAACGCTTCGTGGCCGAATACGTACAGTCATGCGCGGAATGTCAACGAAACAAATCAAAGAAGCACAAACCGTACGGAATGTTACATAGCCTTCCGGTACCAAAGCTTCCTTGGGCGGAGATATCGATGGACTTCGTCGAACAATTACCGATATCTGAGGGTTTCGATTCAATCTTGGTAGTCGCGGATCGTTTTACCAAGGAGGCGCGCTTCATTGCCACGAAAGGGACGATGACAAGCACGGATCTGTGCCAGACCGTGCTAAAGGAGGTTATTTCGAAGACGGGACTGCCCGATTCAGTAACAAGCGACCGAGGAAAACTATTTGTCAGCAAGTTTTTCCGAGAATTATTGCGATTACTGAAAATCGAGACCCGTTTTAGTACGCCGTACCACCCGCAGACAGATGGGAACACGGAGAGAATAAATCAGTCTCTCGAGGGGTATTTGCGGACTCATTGCGGGTGGAACCAGGACGATTGGGTACGCTTACTGCCGCTGGCGGAGTTTACCTACAACAATTCGGTACATACAAGCACGAAAACGACCCCTTTCTTCGCAAATCACGGGTACCACCCACGCTTCGACGCGGCAAACGAACTGGGAAGTGCGATTTCGCCCTTGGCTGTACAAAAGGTGGTAGAGATGGATAAACTATGGCGCGAGTTAGAGCTGTGGTTGGAAAGGGCCAACGCAAGGACGGCAATGTACTACGATGCGCGTCACAGGTACGAACCGGACCTTTCTGTGGGGAAACGTGCGCTGGTGGACGCTAACTTCATAGCGCATTCCCGGAAGACCCATAAACTATCCCCAAAGTTCGTAGGACCGTGGAAAATCGTCGAGAAGGTGGGACCTCTCGCCTACCGTTTGGAACTCCCGAAACAAGTGAAAAGACACGACGTTTTCCACGTCAGTCAATTGGAACCGTTCTGCGAAAGTACCGATACTTCCAGGTCTGCGCAGCCAGGTCCGTTACCAGAGGACTTCAGGACGGATACGTACGAGATAGAGGACATTATCGACAGTCGTAGACGGAAAGGAAGGCTCGAGTACAAGGTGCGGTGGAGGGGGTATGTGGGTCCTGAAGCGCTGGAATGGATAGATGCGGACGAAATAGACGCGGAAGATACGGTTATGGACTTTATCTTACTGAATCCTACGAAACCGCGTCCATCCGAACTACCTGCCCCAGCAAAAACACGGGTGGTTTACGAGAAGACGCCGAGAATGGTGAAGCGAGGGGGCGAGGGGAATGGTACGGAATAGGACATGTCGGGACAACATGTCACGGAAGGGGGAGGTAAAGTAGGCGAAGAACGAGGAAGGACTTGAAGATCGAAAGCAGGGAGAGAAGAAACAGGCAAACAGCAACGCACAAGGCTGTACAACATATCACGCAAGCTTACGGATCGGCACAAAGAATCCCAGGAGAGGACTGAGAAGAAGAGACGGCGACGATTACGAAGAAACGGCGGATCGAAGAAGGGGAGAGCAGAACGACAAGGGGACAGAGCACAAGAGAGTACGATACCGGGCAGAAACACACAGATAAAGGCCGTATCCCGTCGTTATCGTCATAAAGGTCGTTATATAAAAAAATACAAGAAAAAGAAAAAAGAAGTCCGAAACCGTACCCATCAGGCCTGAACAACCGGAGACCCGGGCTGCTCGTTGGCATTCCCCAACACGACGTTCTCCTCCTCGGGCTCGTCGTATTCGGCGAGGAGGTTCCGCGCTTCCTCGACCTGCTTCTCGAGGGCCTGGCGCTGGGCCTTGTCGGTAATGGCCGACAGAGTACCGCTCACCACCCCGAGCAAGTTGTTCTGCACGGAAAAGTACGGATAAGCAAGCATCTTGCAAGATCGAGAAGAGAAAAGGACTTACGGCGGCTTGAATCGCCTCGTTCAAGCGCAAGTACGGAAGGTCGAGACACGAACAGTTCGAGGCCGACCTAGCTTGACATTCGAGACAAGATTGAGGCCAGACGCGGCCGAACTTGTCCTTCTTCATGACGCTCTTGCACGGCGCCTGGAAGATCATCCCCGACGTGTCCGAACCTGAGCGGAAACAGTACGGATCAGGACAAAGAAGGACACATACTCAAGAAAAGAACTCACCGTGGTTCGACCACGTCTCGCAATTATCGCACGGGAGTGCGTTGTACGAGGCCTTGTTGAACTTGGCCGCGCACTTGTTGATACGGGTAACCTACGTGGTAACGAGTACGGATTAGTACTTATTCAAACGAAACCCGTACTCGAACTCACGGCGTTGGCCACCGAACTGCCGATACCGGGCGCCGGCTTCTGGGTGACGACGTTATCGGCCTTTACTTGACCGAGGAAAAGTCGGTTCCCGACGACGACGTTTCGACCGTTAGCGGAGGCAGCAGCGTAGGGCATCTTGGTACGGATAAGGACAAAGGAGTACTAGAGTGGAGAGAGTATGAAGTAGAAGAGTTAGACAAAGGGGGGAATCGACGTCAAACACAAACGAACAGCGAGGTATATATCTTGTTTCAATCAACGGATAAGTACCGATCCGTAAATCAAGCTTCTCGACAACACGGACCTTCCCGCGACTCTCCGGTGGATCAAAACTCTAAAGGACCCTAGAGTGCGATACTGTACTATACGACACGATACAGTACACAAAACGTATATCACCCGGGTACTCAACGAAGGTTCGGCAACGAGTAGGCAAATGATATCTCTTGAGTATCGTACGATGGTAGCAGTACGGGAACGCAATGATCGGGAGATCATTGTACGGAAGGGGGAGATAATGTCACAGGACGATCGATATCGGGCCCGACACGTTCCTCGCTTTCGGCCGAGATCATCGAGAAGCCCGACAACCCTTACGTACGCGTCGCTTTGGAGATCGGACTTTACGGTACAGGAACGCACAGATCCGTACGCGAAGCGAGGGAAAGGACATCGAAGCGAACGAGAGAGAAGAATGTAGACGAGTCGAGAGGCGAACGAGTAGAAGCGCAGGGAGAGAGGTCTAGAGTCCGCTTCCGTACGCTTCGGTACGAGTATTTAGCTTTCTGTAATGTAGCGTACTTGTTATGAGACGCTTGAGTACTGAATAGGACTCAAGCGTCGATATTACATCTCTTCGATACTTGATCATCGTACAAGAGTAAAGGTCACTATCCTGACGGTTAGCCACCCCTACAAGCAGTTCTTTACAGTAAAGTACCCTTTCGCGCCGGACTTCACCTTTCGCTCACGCGGTTAGCCCTCCCGTGACAGTACCTTTGCAAGTGCATTTCAAGTTGAAACTGCAAACAACTCCTTGGTATTTGCTAACATTTGACTTCCTAATGGCATAGCCATAGGCTTGGCCATGAACATTGATCTCTGCAGCAATTGTGTCCATGTCGAGGTGGGGGGTCGAAGTCAGGGAGTTCTACAGAGAACAAATCGGAGCGATGACAAGGGGGGAGGGCGGGGGAGAACCTAATCGAACTTCTTTTTCAGCCTCTTAGTCTGCCTCATCCTTATAAACAGGTCGACTAGGTCCTCCTTGTTACGGGATCATCACGTGAGTTGGCTACCGGCACGCAGTATTAGGCTTGCCTGCAAGCCTGGAACAGTATCACACAGGACTAGAAGGTAGGGGCAAGGTAATGAATGCAATAACGGATGTAGTACAACTAGTACTACATTACAGTAAACACATAGGGGTGTTCTAGATATACTCCGTACGGAACTCCCATCGGAGGTCCCTGTAAAGCTACCCAACGCGGTTGTTTGATACGCGTACCGCCAATGCTATAACACGCAGGATCGCTCCACGGACATCAGCATACACCTAAGTACGGCTCGACAAGGCGAACCCGATTCTCTCGGAGCAGATCCGGTTGCACTACTGTTACGGGATCATCGCCTGAGTCGACTACCAACACATGGGCTTGATCTACGGACATCAGCATACACCTAAGTCAGGCTCGACGAGGCAAATCCGATTCCCTCAGAACAGATTCGGTCGCCTCTACCATCCACCGAAACAACAATACATCCCCGGTAAATATAACAAACAGGTACAAGGACCTCGAGGTACACGACAACCTTACTCAGGACCTCTCAGGACCTCGACAACCTTACTCGATGTACCTAGGGACAAATGCAAACCCAAACTCGCCTCCTCTACTGAATCCGGTCACTCTCGACAGGATTCGTCTGTTTGCCATCTCGTGCTTCCAGTCTCGCCATTCTTTTCTCTTGGGTCTTTTTCAGTGTTCAACAGCCTCGTCTCCTTACTCATCTCCGTATAAATAGCTAGAGGAACTTGACCGAATTCGATAGAGGACGCTCTGTAATAGTAATAGGTCAAGTTCCGATATCACATTCAATACACGCCTATCTGACTTGTTACAACATCTTCAAGACGTGTTGCGGAGAGGTTATAACCCAAGGACGTCGCTAAGTATCTACGCTTCATCGTTTTACCTTAGACCAAATCCGGTACCTCACATCGAGTGATCACCTTCCTTATCCATATATCTTTGGATTCGTATCCCTTAACCGAACCCGCTTCATCTAAGCGAACTTGCGACATTCTCCCGACTACCTGCGATCTACCTTAAGCACCCTACGCCTTACGACTTAGGACTTATTGCCCATTAGCGACTTCTGCCGTAACACTCCTCCAACCCAGGGTATTGGTTAAGAACGTTGGGAAGCTGATCAATGTTGATTGCCTGGGAAGAGTTCATTGCGATAACGTATTGATATTGAATACTAGTGTGATTGCAAGGGCAAGTATCCAGATGATAAGTCGATGTGTAGTTTGATAGGGAAGACTACAAGGCGATCATATAACAAAGAGAACCAGTGAACACTCATAAGGAAAGATTGTAAGGTTCTTGACGATCAACGCTGATTGTCAAGACGTTCCAATAGGGGTAACAAAGAGGTTTATTCCCTGAGAATATTTTCACCAAATCGGCTGCAATCGTGATGCAATGGAGTATTTCTAGGGACTAGTGCATGTGGCCGTTCCTTGGCATCAAGCCATAGGCAGAGTTTGTAGGTATTTGAAATGTAAGGTCGATTGCCGCCAGGGTAGTAAAAGTTGCTGCCACCAGATGAATTCCTGCACCTCCCAAGAGTTCATCTGGTGGCGGTAACCTTTACTACTATGGCGGTAAAAAAGATAGCGTTTTCTACGTGCGCGTTCTAAATTTAGCGGTGTAGAGGCAAACAGGCACAAGGAAGCAAATCTGCCTCCTGAAAAACGCGAATAGAAATACCAGTTAAAGGACCTGCATTGTTTTGGCAGAATTTTCCCTTGTATCTATTATAGGCATCCGCGGTACGCATGTCGTACACACGCGGGATGTAGGTTTTCACCTCGTACGGAGGTCCGTTCGGAGACTCTCTCGGAGACTCTCTCGGAGACCTATTAGGAGATGTGTTCGAAGATGTCTAACTAGCACCTTGTAGTAGTTAGACATCCGTTATTACATTTATTACCCTACCCGTACCTTCTAGTCCCGTGTGTTACTATTCAGGTTTGCTGGCAAACCTTATAGAATAACGGATCACCCAAACACCCCGACTAGGAGACCCCGTATACGATGAATACGTTCACGCAGTGTTACGGACCGGATAGGGCTGTCCACCCCATCCCTGCGGATGCGATCCCGGTCTTGAGCGAAGACGGGAGCATGCAGATGATGGATGGACAAGGAAGGTTCATGTGGAGGAACCCAACTGGGGAGACGCTGGTAAACGACCAGTGCGTCTTTGCCCACCAGCAACCGGAGGTAGGTGCCACGGGGGTACCTACCGCTTCCACGCAGGCCGCACCGGCCAACAACATGGGGCAGACTCCCCCACAAATGCAGTCAACACCCCCAGCAGCTAACCCTGCTCCGGCCGCTGCGCCTCCTACCAGTCCGGACGTTTCCGCCCTGCTCTCCATGATGGCGAACATGCATAGCCAGATGATGGAGTTGGCGATGTCGAGGGACACTCGATCGGCGACGGCCACGGAGGAAGCGAGAGCGAAGCTGTTCAAGTTCGGTACGCCGGACAGGTTCGATGGCAGCAAGAAGGAGAAGGTTAGGGGATTCCTGGACCAATGCAACCGGGAGTTCCAAGTCAAGCCGGGGTTGTACACCGACCTTTACAAGATTATGTACGCGGAGTCGTACATGGATGGGCAGGCCCAGGCATGGGCAAGGGAGTACTCGTCGGGGCGAACTCAGGTCACCTGGCGGGAGTTCGAGGCGTTGCTTGTGGAGATGTACGGAGGGGGAAGGAACATCCTTGCTACGGAGAAGGAGTACTACTCTCTGAAGCAGGGCAACAAGAGCTTGAGTACGTACATCACCGAGTACAACGACCTCGCCGCCCTCCTCCCAAACCTCAACGAGTACGGCAAACGGTCGTTCTTCCGCGCCAACCTGAACCAGGCCTTTCAGGACGCTATTATCCCTATGCCCAACCAGGAGCATATGACGCTGGCGGAGTTCCAGATGGAATGTCGTCGGTACGAAGACCAAGCGGAAGCCCGTAGGCACACGTCTTCGGGTAACCGTGCCCACACGAGCGGAAATCGTTACGCAGGTAACCACGTCGCTCCCCGAAACCCTGTTGTGGTTAACACCACTGTTGCCCCTCCTGCGGTGGCCGCCACGTCGGGTGCTACGCCCATGGAGGTGGACGCTGCGAGGATGCCCGGCGGGAAACCCTGCTACAACTGCTGGCAGCCCGGCCACAGGAGTGCCCAGTGCAGCAACGCCAAGAGGTCTCCACCTGCTTGGTGGCAGGCTCGGCAACAGGCTGGTCGAATGCAGGTGGCTGCGACGTACATGCAACCTCCCGCCCAGAACCACCAGGCGTATTGGGACGAGGAGTTCGCTAAGCAGAACGGGGACGAGCCGTTGCTATGGACTCCGGGTGCTTAGGGTTTTCGTGATTGTCATTACTCATTGTTGTACCTTCGTCGGCAGGACCGACGAAGATGTTTATCACCATTCCTTTTTTTACGAACTTAACGAGCCAACGACAATCAAGTTTGTCTTACGAAAACAATGAAGTACCACGACTCGCTTGGAGGCTCAATCGGAGACTCGTTCGGAGACACGTTCGGAGACTTTGCTGGAGAAATGAATCGCAACAAGAAAATAGCATAAAAATAAAAAGGGAGCCGACCCCCGAACGGCGACCAAACGAGACATTACAAACACAAACAAAATCACGCTCCACCACCGTCGCCACCACCGTCACCACCGCCATCGCCACCGCCATCGCCGCCCCCATCGCCACCATCACCCTCGTTGCGGTCCGCGGTGTGCTCGGTCGCGGTCCCCTCGCGCTGGGACCTGGCCCTGCTACCTCGTTGCGAGGGCTGCTTGTCCTGGACGGGAGGGGGAGCGGCGTCC